TTTATACACGTTAGTCCAAAATTTTAATCCGTCCATTTATCATTATTCTTAGATTTTTTTTTCCCTCAGAAAAATAAAAGTAAATTAAAAAAAAATCCACATTTATTTTGTCTTATTCGCTGGTCCGATCGTGACGAGATCAAGAATCTTCCTCGCTGTTGGTATCACATCGTTGACGGCAATTTGCATTTAAATCGGAAGACCGGAGACTGAACCTGCCAACTTCAATCCGGCAATATGGCTGTGGTTAGGGTTTGCAGAGAACAAATGAGGCTTTAATGGAATGGAGGATTTGAGAAATTTTGTCTCGTACTAAAGCAGATTCGATTGTAGCAGTATATCGAGCTGATCGAGCTGGTAAGGTTGAATTTTTCACTTCTTACTTCATGCCTTCTTACAAAGGAAAATGAATTTTTCTGTTTCCCTTTTGCTTGTTCTTTAATTGTATCGCGAAGTGGACCTGTTTCACTGTAAGCGGAAAAGATGTCTAGAGGAATTTTGGAAAAGATGTCTAGAATCGAAATTTTTGGATTTTTTTTCTATATTTGGAAATATCTAGTTATCTACTGTAATTCATTGGAGTACAACTATTTTTTTTTTTTTTGATTTTTAATTTCTTCCCTTTAGATATGTAGCTATTTTTAGTTTTGTTTGTGATGGAAAGCAGGAAATGGCGACTCGTGTTGATCCTCCGGATGGTATTAGGTATGAAGGGAAGCATTACTATTCCATGTGGCAAACATTGTTTGAGCTCGATACGAAATATGAGCCAATCAAGCCTATTGGTAGAGGGGCCTATGGGATTGTGTGCTCCTCAGTGAACATAGAAACCAATGAGAAAGTTGCAATTAAGAAGATTCACAATCCTTTTGAGAACCGGATTGATGCATTGAGGACTTTGCGAGAATTGATGCTTCTGAGACATCTGCGACATGACAATGTGATTGCTCTTAAAGATGCCATGATGCCTATTCACAGGACAAGCTTCAAGGATGTGTATCTGGTTTATGAACTCATGGATACCGATCTGCATCAGATTATCAAGTCTCCTCAAGCACTTAGCAATGATCACTGCCAATATTTCCTCTTCCAGGTATGTTTATATCTCCATTAATTGCATAATAACTACTGATACATTTACCTCATAAGCATAAAGAGGCAGCCTGTTGATAAGAACCTTGTCATCATTAACTGCAAAAGTGTTGATTAACAGTGAGAGAAATGTTCTTGACAGTGTCATATGAAATGTGTATGTAAAATACAATGAAGTGTGTATGCTCTGCAATGAGGAAAAATTTCATTGAAATGTGAGGAGCATATCAAAATATAGCTGTGCACCAAACAGTCTCCAGTGTTTCAGGGCCTGTTTGAAACTTCTTCTGTCTGCCTTTCTTGGTTTGAACTTTTTGGCATTTTAAGTACTGCTACCTTTTTAATCAACTAATATCTGAGCTACATGTATTCTTCAAGGAAAGAACTCTATAGTGATATACTTTCATCTGATGAACATTTGGTTTGCTTTCTGTATTTGGGGTATAATTTCTGAGTTACACATATTAGTTATAGGAGAGATCATTGAAAATATGTCAATTCTGGATGTTTTTAGGGCCTTGCTATTGTGCTAATTCATAGTTCCTTATGCAGTTGCTTCGAGGCCTGAAGTACCTACACTCAGCAAATATCCTCCACCGTGACTTGAAGCCAGGGAATCTCCTTATCAATGGAAACTGTGACCTGAAAATATGTGACTTCGGGTTGGCACGCCCTGGCAATGCTAAGGGCCAATTCATGACAGAGTATGTTGTCACCCGCTGGTACAGGGCTCCTGAGCTTCTTCTTTGCTGTGACAACTACGGAACTTCCATTGATGTGTGGTCTGTTGGATGCATCTTCGCTGAGCTTCTTGGGCGGAAGCCTCTCTTCCCTGGCACAGAATGCCTCAACCAACTTAAACTTATCATCAACGTCCTTGGCAGCCAGAGGGAGGAGGACCTTGAATTTATTGATAATCGTAAGGCAAAGACATACATCAAATCCCTCCCATATTCCCCTGGGACACCCTTTTCCCAACTTTACCCCAATGCACATCCTTTAGCAATTGACTTGCTGCAAAAGATGCTTGTTCTTGACCCTTCAAAAAGGATTAGTGTCACAGAAGCACTCCAACACCCTTACATGGCTCCCTTGTATGATCCGAGCTGCAATCCTCCAGCAGAAATGCCAATTGATCTCGACATAGATGAGGATTTAGGGGAAGAGATGATAAGGGAGTTGATCTGGAAGGAAATCCTACACCACCACCCCGACAAAGCTGCAACTGCCAATACTGAGGCATTCTAATATTTTCCTTTCCTGTTTCTACTGATGAGCCCTGCATGGTTGTTTTACTTTTGACAAGCAGGCTTCTTTGCTGTGGAGCTAGCTTTCTATTTATGTTCTATTTACCCTTTCCCCTTTCGAGTCTCAATAATCTTGAAGAAAACATGACTGTTGTAATGCATAACACTCAGTTTTGTATCAAGACTTTTTTTACAAACCTGGTGTTCTGTAATGTAAATCCCACCAAACATTTTGTATATATATAAGGTTTCTGTAGTGTGTGACTGAGAACTTGTTTTTGTTTTGGAAGTTAGTTTCAGGCATCTCCTGTCTGCTTCCCTTCAGAGGTGCTGAATTTTTCTTGATGCAGCAATTGCTCAGGGTGAACTGAACCATGTTTTCCTAGGGTTCATGTCTTATTTGATGATGGCCCAATATCCTGGCCTAGCACACCTGGGTTTTTGTTAGATGTCATATCTGATTGTCTTCTTTGATGTTGGCCCAATATTCCGGAACAAAATTTCAGGCCCGAAGTTGTCAGTTGTCAAATGTCAACTTCACACAAAGGCCGACATTTGAAGAAACCCACTCCCCCCCGGTGGACTAGACATTCATGGTGCAGACCTTTGTAGTTTCGAAGTGGCTCCACACCTCCACCATAACAGACATTTCATCCAGCTGCCTTGAGACGGGCTTTTCTTTTTTTTTTTTCCTTTTTTTCTTTTTTTTTTTAAGTACAATAGTTAGAGGTTAATATATTAAAAGTGTTAGTGAAGGATATTGAACTCGAAACTTAAAAGTACAAATCACGAACTACCTTTAAAAGCAATAAGTGATCACTGCACCACAGCACCTGAAATGCTGACACAGGCTTTTCAGCCAACTACTACCGGCCTTTATGTGAGCGCCCACCAAAACAGACCGCTAGATGTTAAGTAGAAGACAGCAACTGAAAATGTAAGGTTTTGACAGCAACTATAACATA